ATATCTTTGTTTGGGTTTGTACACATGAGTGCGGTGCTCATGGAGGCCAGAACAAAACATTAGATTTCCTGAAGTCGGAGCTATCGGTGCTTATGAGCCAGCTAACATGGGTGGTAGGAACTGAACTCAGGTCTTCTGTAAGAGCAGCGAGAGCTCTTAATCACTGAGACCCCTTTTAGGCCCTCAACATAGGATTTTATCTCAGGGTTTTGTTTTGCAATACTAGGTAAGGAGAATGCTTCCTGAGTAGAAACCATATGCCTTCCTGAAAAGATTAAGACAAAAGCTCTTTATGTAAATTTAGTTAAAACTTTCCAGCCTTAATAATCTTTATCTTAATCTTATATGCTACAGTTAAATTATATTTATCTCAGTGTGTATGTGTGTTTTTCTGTGTCTGTATGCCTATAGACACAGAATACATGTGGAGGTCAGAGGACAATTTATGTAAATCAGTACTATCCTTCTACCATGTAGGTCCTAGGGATTGAACTCAGGTCATCAGGCTTGGTGGCAACCAGCTTTATCCGCTAAGCCATCTCATGGCCCTTGTTAATGTTTTCTCAGACTAACTGTAGCCTGGAGAGTTGCTTCTCCATGCTGGTATGGTGCTGTTTGGCCTTCCTTCTTGAAGATCACATGTAGAATGATTCTTCCTGGGGAATATGTTTTTTACTTTGATTCTCCTATACCTCTTCCCTTTCTAGCTAAATGAAATAATTATCTTTGTCAGGAAAAGGGGAACAAAAGAAATGCATCATAACGCCTCTTAGTAACTTTTATAGAAGATTTACTTATCAATTGATTGGCTGTAAGATCTGCTCTCACTGTGTCTTTGAAGAACTTGAATTTTAATCATTCTTTCTTTTTTAAAAAATTATCTATTTAATTTTTTGTGTGGCTGTTTTGCCTACAAGTATTTATGTAGAGCTGTAGGCCCATATTTCTATATGTTTGGCAGCCAGGCTCTCAAGCCATAGTTCTTACCTGAAGTGATCATGTAACCTTCCAGATGGGCTGTTGCTACCCTAACAAAAGGTCAGGATGTTGTTTCACTTCTTCTCTGTAATTTGGAGGATGCCTGATGTAATTTAGAGACGCTAATTCAAGCCTATGTGACTGAGTAGGTATACTGACCAGGAAAATGTAACAGCAAGCACAGGTAGGTGTGGATGTGACTAAAAGGCATTCACCTGGTTACCTAGGAAACAGAATGCTAATGATTTTCCCCCTCAGTTTATGTTTTGGGATAAAGACTGTTTGGAGAATAAACGAGCGGAATTTTCAAGATGTGAACTCAGGAGTTCATGAAGCCTCACTGAGACTCTCTTCCCCCATAAAGCCATGTGAGTTGTGACTTTATTCCTGCACCTCCACGCTGGTCCAAAGAGATAGTTTAGGTTGCTGGTTCAGAGAAATAATTTATGGTCTGGGCTGCCACTGGACAACAACATAGTGGTGCCCAACGTGGGGCTGATCCATGAACCCCAAAAGCTTGGAAAAAGTGAACACACATACAGAAAAGAACGTAAGGAACCCACGAGAAAAATTGCACCACAGATGGATACGTGAGTATTGAGTGCTCGGAAATAGAGAATAGATTTTAAAGAAGTGTAGAGAAACGGGATAAAATTTAAACCAGGAGTAAAAATTTGTATTATACATACATAATATATATATATATATATTAAGGAAAGTATTCTTTATTTTTTATATAATATTTATTTTCTTATATAATAGATGTGAATATGCAATTTTATCACTACTAAATGGGTAGGAAAGTGTAGGGAATATGGCTTTTGGCCCAAGAATTGCCTAGGTTACCACTGAGATTGAGGTGCCATGTGCAGGCGCAGTAGCCAGCTGAATCTAACCCAGCTACAGGGGAAAAGGCAAGCAGGAGACAGAGTAAGTTTAGAGAATAAATTTAACCTCAGTAGCCCAGAGCTGGCCAATAGAACAGAGGAGAGGATTCAGGAATTCTCTTAATTTTATGGTTACAAGTTAAAATAGTTAAAAATTGTGAAAAGATAGTTAAAAATTGGCATGTCTATATCCGCCAGAGCTGTGACTGCAGGCTGGCAACTTGTGTCCTACCCCCTGCCATGTGGTGCAGCTACAGCTAGAAGCGGAAAGGCAGGTTTCCAAAACAGGTAGCCTCAGAGAACTGCAGCTTCAGGACAATTGAAAATAAATAAGCAGGTTAAAAATATGCTTCTTTTCCATTTCATAATTTTGCTTCTCTGTCAAAAATCTGTTGTTTGTAGGCATTTGAATTTGTGTCCAAAGTGGATTGATATCAGTTCCTTTGATCTTTATGTTTGTTTTTCACCTGTTTTTCAGTACTGTGGCTCTATAGTGAAGTTTTAAAGTTAGAGATTGTGATGCATCCAGAAGTTCTTCTGATTGTACAGGATTTTAAGATTGTTTAGGCTATCCTGAGTTTTTTTTTATCTTTTCTTATAAAGTTGAGGACTGTTCTTTCAAAGTCTGTGAAGAATTTTGCTATAATTTTAATGGGCATTTGCATTAAATCTGTAGGCTGATTTCAGTAAGATTGTCATTTTTGCTATATTGGTTCTATCTTCCCAAGAGAATAGGAGATCTTTCCATTTTTCTGATGTCTTAAATTTCTTTCTTCAAAGATTTAGAGTTCTGTGCTCACTTCGGCAGCACATATACTAAAATTGGACAATACAGAGAAGATTAGCATGGCCCCTGTGCAAGGATGACACGCAAATTCGTGAAGTGTTCCATATTTTTTTTCTTTATCCACACAGATCAATGATAGTTCGTGTTTTGTTTTTAAGGTGGTTTTAAAATACACTGTCCCGGAGTTTAAGGATTCTTTGGATTTTTTTTTTTTTACTAAACTTGCTCAGAGAAGAAGTCTGCACCACAAGGGTGGAGGCCCATGTGAGGAAAGTGCTGCCAAGCTGCTGCGGCCTGAGCAGGTGCCTCATTAGGTTACTACTGTCATCCTCCTACTTCCTGGACTCCTCCACATTTCAATGAGAGTATTACAGCAAACATGAAGAAGGGCTTTAATGTGGAAGAACTAGAAATGAATAATGCACACAGCATACAAGTCCTCAAGGGCCTTCATTTAACTAACAGAATCTTTTTCTGGTCTTCGGGCCTGACAAATGGAATAATAAAAGAAACAGACATACCCAAAGAATTGCCAAGACACAAAGAAAACAGACAGGGTGGTGAAGATGACGGAAATGGTGATGGTGAAAATAATGCAGAGACCTCAGATGCACCCCCTGTAGAAGATACCACAGAGATGTTACCTGTGGAATCAACAGCAAGTAAACCCAGCTAGTAAACCATCTGACAGATCTTTTGCCATGGATAAAATGCGTGAAGAGGATGATGACGTCTATGACTTTAGAACAGATTATGTATAACTGTTACAGATGTTAATGTTTTGTGTACAGTGTCCCAGACTGGTTTGGCACAAACTAATCTTGTGAATATATATATATATATATATATATATATATATATATATATATATATATACATATCCATCCACACACATTGAAACAAACTGCAAAGTGCAAAAAAAAAATTTAAAGTTCTTATTGTGCAGAATTTTTCATTTGTGTGGTTAGAGTTATTCCAAGATATGTTACGGTATTTATGGCTATTTTAAAGGATGATGTCTTTCATTTTTTCATCAGTGTAAAAGAGAAGCATTTTGGGTTGTTTTCAGATTCTATCTGTAACAAAATAATTCTGTTGTGAACACAGTTGAGCACATGTCCTTATGGTATGGTTGAACATCTTTCGTGTGTAAACACAGAAGGGGTATTGCTGAGTTTAAGGTAGTCTGTTGCCTAATTTTCTGAGAAATTTTCATACTATGATCCAAAGTGGCTGTGCCAGTTTGCACTCCCACCAGCAGTGGAGGAGTTTCTCCTGTACCCCACATCCTCTTTCTCCTGTACCCACATCCTCTTCTGCATAAGTTGTCAGCAGTGTTTTTAATTTTGATCATGCTTACAGGGATAAGATGGAATCTCAAGAGTTGTTTCAATTTGCATTTCTCTAATGACTAAGGATGTTATGTTTAAGCATTTTTTAAGTGTCTTTCACTCATTTTAGATCTGTTGAGAGTTTTCAGGTTAGGTTTATACCATATATTTTTTATTGGATTATTTGTTCTTTAGATGACTAATTTCCTGAGTTCTTTGTATGTTTTTGGAGTGGATTAGTGATTAGTAATGATATTTTCACATTATATAGGCTGATATTATGTCTTGTTGAACAGAAGCTTCTCAGTTCAGGAGATCCCATTTATTAATTGTTTCTTTCAATGTCTATGCCACTGAGTCTGTGTTTGTGATGTACCAATGCATTCAAGTGTACTTCTGACTTTTCTTCTATGAGGTTCAGTATTGTTAGTTTTGTGATATGGTCTTTGATTCATTTAAACTTGAGTTTTGTGCATAGAGATGAATATGGATCTGTTTTTATTCTTCTACATGTTGACGTCTAGTTAGATCAGCATCATTAGTTAAATATGCTTTCTTTTTCCATTTTCCTATCAGCTAGACAGACTAGACAGACTTGCAGCTTCAGAGGAGGATAGCTTACAAACTTTTAAATAGGTATACAATGGTTGAAGCCTTATTTATAATATTCTTATGGGAGATCTTGAGATACAAAGTAAAATTTTTAAAGGGCACAATGAGCCAATTTCCAACAGAGAGCTTATAGAAGTTGTCCAAACAAGCACTCAAGCAGGTGGAGTATAGATCAACAGGTAGGGTATACAATAATCAGCAGGTACAGTATATTAATTATGATTCAGCATAGCAAGTGTGTGTATATTAAGTATAAAACTTATTCTAAAGCAGTTTTATGAAAAAACTAGAACGCTTTTTATGACTGCACCTTCCTATTTTTGCCAATTAAAATATTAAACTTTTAATTTAAAGCAGTAACTTGTCTAATACAGAAGAACTAGATGATAATCTAGGAGATATTTTAGCAGGGTACTTACTATGATCAATGTTTCTTATATTAAGCAATAGATTAATTAACAATTTTAAGGTATTTATTCTTAGATACTTATATGTGCTCAATTTAAAGGTCAGAGTAATAACCTTTTCCCAGATGATCATTGCTGCAATTTGTACAACTATATTTTGCTAACGTTACAGCTAAAGATCCCTTAAAGGATGTTATGCTGAATTTTACAAATGTTGAAAACAACTTAAGAGGATAAAAGTTGCAGACAGGTCTGACAAGATGGCACTAAGGTGACCTTGCTAAGGCAAGGTGAAAAAGCCCTTGCAATGAATTATGAAAAGATCCAGCCTATATTTGGGGTCAAGGATATGTTTATTCTTTTTTCTCAGAAAGAAGATAAAGCTGGATGAGATGACTGCATATACAGTAAAGGAGTGGCAGACTTGATGACATCATAGTTGCAAACACCCCCATAGAGGAGTTGGAGAAAGGAGTTGGAGAAGAGTCCATGGTCCAATCTTCCCCGCCACCACAGAGAGGAGTGCCTGATTGTGGGACCACCACTCTACACTGCAGGGTTCCACGCTGCTCTGAGAGACAGATGTCAAACTGCTTCCAGCCTCGGGACACAGATCCGGAGGCCCTGCTGAGATTACCTGACCATGGTGACTACACTTTTCTGCAGTTTAAATCCTGTTTTCTTTGGAGCTGAGATGCAGACTGAACATTTGACTGTTTTAGTCTCTGGGACACAGAACTCATTTTAATTAAAATATTGGACCTGAGAACTAAGACCTAAGGTTTCCCCTCAGGGAAAGAAAGTCTCAAAATAAGAAAGGACTGAAACCCCTCTTTACTTAGGAAGGGGGCAGACTAAGGGTTTAACAGTTGCTCAGAGACTGGAACTGGTATTTCATAACAGCAATGTCATTGTACTCTTACTGGTATTGACCTGATATTTGTAACTGCATATAAGGTGTTGAGAAAAGTTGGTATTAACCAATAATGCTGAGAATTATGGTACTGACCTGATAATATCTGTAAAAGTTGGTATTGACCAATAATGCCAAGAATTATGGTACTGACCTGGCGATATCTGTAAAAGTTGGTATTAATCAATAATTCTGAGAATTATGGTACTGACCTGATGATATCTGTAAAAGTTAGTATTGACCAATAATGCTGAGAAATATGGTACTGAACTGATGATATCTGTAGAAGTTGATATTGATCAATAATACCAAGAATTATGATACTGACCTGATGATCTTTGTAACTGCACATAAGATGTTGAGGAAAATTGGTGTTGACCAATAATGCCGAGAATTATGATACTGACCTGATGATGTTTGTAACTGCTGAGAAAAGCTTGATACACCCTGTAAATGTTGGGAGTTGATGCATATGTTAAAGAATTTTAGATTTTTATTCAATGAAAAAGATTTAAGAGGTGCTCTAAACTAACAGAAGAAACATTTTCATCTCAGGTGATCCTTTCTCCTTTAAATAGGAGACTGTAGGTTTTGAAACATGGCAGACGACATAGATCAGCAACAAACCACCAATACCATAGAGGAGCCCCTGGATCTCATCAGGCTCAGTTTGGATGAGCGAATTTATGTGAAGATGAGAAACGACCGAGAGCTTCGAGGCAGATTACATGCTTATGATCAACATTTAAATATGATCCTGGGAGATGTGGAAGAAACCGTGAGAATGATAGAGATTGATGAAGAGACATATGAGGAGATATATAAATCAACAAAACGGAACATCGCCATGCTCTTCGTCTGGGGAAATGGTGTTGTTCTAGTTGCCCCTCCATTGAGAGTCGGCTGAGACAGAAGAGGATCCTGTGTAGGAAATGGAGACTTTGCCTCTTGAGATGTACAGAACACTCACAGAGAGAAGCTCACATGCATTCTGATAACAGAAATGACCCCAGGATTTCTCCACCCTCAAGAAAGTTCATTTCCGAGTAACTTATAGCCTCTCAGCTAAATCCCATGTTCCTTTTCTCCAGCCCTCCTGTCAGTGTCTCCAGCTTCCTCACTCTTTTCAGGAGTTGTTTGCCCATTGTTCTTGCAGTTACTTTCAGGTTGTTTTTCTTTAAATTAAATTTGATGTCCCTTTTAAAAAAAAAAGGAGACTGTAACCTTTGGGAGCATGATTATTCATAAAACATTATAATTTATCCTGACAAGAAATTAAGGCTCCAACTTAGAGCCCAAAGGTATCTCTCTCTCCATTAATCTCTTTTCTTCACAGAGATCAGCAGTCAATGATGGGTTTGAAGCTTCTTCTCCCAGATGTCTAAGACAGGAGCTTGCATAAACGAATGTCTGTTCCAGAGATGGGAAAATTTGGGTAAATGGAGAAGTCTTTGTCCAAGCCAGGCTTGATCTTCTGTCCTGCTGAAGAAGCACAGGTTTTATTAAAATTAATCTGAGAGAGTGGACTGTACGCCCATATTTCTATATGGTATGGCAGTCAGGCTCTCAAGCCATAGTTTGTACCTGAAGAGGTCACGTAACCTTCCAGACATGCTGTCGCTACCCTAACAAAATGTCAGGATGTTGCTTTGCTCCTTCTCTATAATTTGGAGGATGCCTGGATGGAGATGCTAATTCAAACCTCTGTGACCGAGCTAGCATACTCACCAGGAAAACGAGACTGCAAGCACAGGTAGATGTGGACGTGACTAAAAGTCATTCACCTGGTTACCTAGGAAACAGAATGATAATGATTTCTCCTCTCAGTTCACATTTTGGGATAAATACTGGAGAATAAAAGAGAGGAATTTTCAAGATGTGAACTCAGGATTTCATGAGGGGTCATTGAGAATCTCCCTCCCGATAAAGTCATGTGAGTTGTGTCTTTATTCCTGTGCCTCCACACTGGTTCAAAGAGATGGTTTATGTTGGTTCACAGAAATAATTTATGGTCTGGTCTGCCACCAGACCATGACATAGGAGCAGCAAGCCCATGGATGCTTGGTGCCCAGAGAGGTCAGAAGAGGACATAGGATCTTGGGGAACTGGAGTTACAGATGGTTGTGGACCAGTATGTGGTTGCATGGAATTGAACCCAGGTCTTCAGAAAGAACAATGTGTGCCCTTGCATACTGAAAAGTCTCTCCAGGCCCTTTTGATTAGCATATTTTCGACATGTGAAATAAGGGGTGTGATGGTTAATACTGGCAACTTGACAGGATCTAGAAGCCATAACAAGACAAAGCCCTGGACACATCTGGGAGGTAGAGTCTGTATTAACTGAGGTGAGAATAGCCATACTACCCACACCGTGCCATGACCTGGAGTCCATGACTGAATGAGTGGGGAACCAGCAATCATTGCTCTCTGCTTCCCGACTGCAGGCACAATGTCATTCCGACTCACTTTGCTGAGGTCATGACTTCCCCTCCATGATGGATCTGTGCTCTCTGACTCCCCTTGCTGAGGCCATGACTTCCCCTCCTGGACAGACCTGTGCTCTCTGCCACACCCTCCTGAGGCCATGGCTTCCCATCTGTGATGGATCTTTGTTCTCTGAAAATAGTTCTTTCTTCCTCAGATCGCCTTTGTCAGGCAGTGGTGTAGCCATGAGAAAACCAGACCTTGCCGAATTTTCACTTAACGAATGCTTCTATTAACTCTTTCTCTCCATCACCCTGTTCTTCTACTTCACAGACAGTATCCCTTCTACTTGCAAAACTTACCTTTTCTTTTATTTAGACTTGCTTATTTGAGAAAGCATTCAGTGTTTGTGTTCCTGAACCTGGTTCCATCAATTTTCCTGAAAATGACTTACTTCATGGTTTAAAAACACTTCATCATGTATATATCACTCATTTTCTTCATTATTTCTACCTGTAGATGGAAATAATTTGGTTTATTGGAATAGTGTACAATTACACTGGATTACAGCTGAATCAAAGCTATTATTATTTATTATTACATTTTGCCTATCAAGTTTATCATTTGAAAATTGTGTGCATGTATTGAAGCATACCAATTGTACTCACCCACATATAACACTACTGTTTCCCGCCTGCCCTCCACTCTTCCCTTTAGCTCTCTTCCTCATATCTATGACTATTTGTTTTGCTTTGGGACCCAGTGAGTCTAACCCAGGACTGCCCCGTGACCATGAACAAGCTCCATTTTAACAATTTTAAAGGACTCCCATATATTAAGTTTCATAGTGGCTATAGCAATGGTAATCTCTTCTGGAATAACTAAATGGTCAAAGATATCTGGTAGCTCATAAAATTGGGCCAGTGGAAGTAACTGTGATTGATTTAATGTCCATCCTGGTGCCCCTTTGTTTAAGATGAAAAAATTCCTTTATTTTTCAGACCTGTGACCCTGAACTTTAGGTCATGAGCCTCTCATCTTTCAACTTGTGAACAGGTTGTCACAAATCTCTACTTCTCCCTTAGATTCTGTCAATGATTCCATAGTTATGGATCAAAGCTTTCCAAGAATTTCTCTTCATTACCCTGACCATTTCACCTGCTTGTGTTAATGGCAATTAGTCAGTCACTGGGGTTTGAGCCAAGGGGACCTGCCCTTCAGTTAATCATTATCTTGAGTAACCTCTTTAACTGTTGCCCCAGATGACTTTACATTTCTTTCTTGCTTTTCTGCCACCCTCCCCCAGTTCTATCTGTTAATATAACATTAGCCTTTGGATTTCAGCAGTTCTCCAGATTGAGGCAAAAGTCCTTTAGCATTGGTGTTATAAGCATGGAAGTTGGATAGCTAGACAGGCATTAGGTTTGGAGGCCGTGGAGGATAGAGTCCTTCTTAAGATTAGATTTGGACCCTCACTTTCCATTTCCCTGGTAACATAATAAAGGGAAGCATACCTTTGCCACTCCTTAAGATTTAAAATATCACAAAAAATGATGGAGAGTGGTGACGTTAGGGGTTTGTTGAGATCAATTAATCTACTTCTTGGTCACAAGAATAGAGCCTAGTTGTACCTCTGATCATGGGTGGATGGTAGGAGGTCCTTCTGTCTTTGTGTTGCTTTCACTGCTTAATAAAGAAACTGTCTTGGCTTAGTTGATAGGACAGAACCTTGGTAGGCAGGGAAGACAGAACTGAATGTTGAGAGGAAGAAAGGCAGAGTAGGGGGAGTGTCACCATGGAGCCATCAGAGACAGATATGCCGAATCTTTCCCAGTAAGCCACTGTCACGTGGTGATACACAGATGAATAGAAATGGGTTAAATTAAGATGTAATAATTAGCCAATAAGAAACTAAATCTAATTGACCAAGCAGTGATTTAATTAGTACAGTTTCTGTGTGGTTATTTTCGGGCTAAGCTAGCGGTGCAGCCAGGACAAACAATCAGGCCCGCTCTCTGCAACAGGTGGATGTGTAACACTCTGCATTGCCTCAAACTAATGATCATAAAGTCATACTACTGTCCCCTTCTTAAGATTTTGTCCACTTTGGCTTGTCAATCACCTGGGCCCAAGATGACCCACACAGAAAAGCCGATACACCTGAACACATGTTAAGGATATTGTAGGAATAATTATCCCCTTAATGAGATAATGTACTTATGCGTATCCAAGAGCCTCTGTTTCAATGTATGGCTTACAGATCTGCACTGGTAAGCCTGCCTGCTTTTCTGAGTTCTACTTCAAAAAGCCCGATGTCCCCTTATTCCTTTCTATCTCTTTTACAGAAATTGGCCACAATCTTAGGTGTGCCTGCATCTGTGCTTTGTCAGTGTTCTCTTATGAGCATCCAGCTGTTTACAGACCTTCATTGAATAACCAGCTTGCTTTCTTGGACCATATTGCAAAAGGCATGACTTTCTTTCTTTCCGTCTTTCTTCTTCTATCAGCTGCTAAACTTTATAGTTTCCTTTGCCTCTTTTTCTCTCAAACTTTAATAAAGTGCCCTGAAGCTTTCTTACAAGTCCATTTTTAAATTCTTTTAATGTCAAGACTGAAAATCTACAGAAAACTCCAATTCCCTGGTACCAGTAGTGTGCTAGTTGAAGCTTCTATTGATCTCCACAGTCTTTGTTATTGTATTGTTAGGGTGTTTTAGCTCCATTAACTTCTATTTTATTCTTTGAATGTGTGTATGTATTTGTGTGTGCTCACACATGTGTCCAGAAGAGAGGATGTGCATGCATGTGTGTGTGTGTGTGTGTGTGTGTGTGTGCATGTGCAGAGGAGGGCACATGCATGCATGTGTGTGTGTATATACAGGGGAGGGGTTGTTTATGCATATGTGTATGCATGTTCAAGGAAGGGGACATGCATGAATGTGTGCATTTGCATTTGCAGGGAGGGAATATGCATGCGTGCGTGCACGTGCATGTGCTCGTGTGTGTGTGTGTGTGTGTGTGTGTGTATGTGCAGGTCAGAGGTCAGCATCAGGCGTCTTCCTTAATAATTTTTCCACTTTATTTTTTTTTTGTAACATGCCTCTTCCTGAACCTGGAGCTCATGGATTCAGATAGACAGGACTCCTCCTAGCTCTACACACTGCTACTAATAGTGTGACAGGTTTATAATGCCCTGCCTATTTTTACATAGGTGCTGGGGATTTGAACTTGGGTCCTGGGGCTTAAGTGCATTGTTGACTGTCTTATTTATTATTCCTATTGCTGTAATAAGGTACCCTGACAGAAGAAATTCATGGAGGTAAGTAAGGATGAAAGGAAGGAAGAGTGGGTGGGTTTACGTTTGGCTCAAAAAAGGGCACAATCTTATGGTGGGACCTTAAGGAAACAGGAGCTTGAACATCTGGTCACACTGGGTTCACAGTCAGGAAGAAAAGACTATTCACCACCTAATTCCCTGTCTATTTGCATGATCTCTGTGCCTTTTGTGCCTATTTGGATGTCTCTTTCTCAGGATCTGGGAAGTTTTCTTCTATGATTTTATTGAAAATATTTTCTATGCATTTGAATTAAAATCCCTCCTTAATCTAAACTCACTGATTTGATCTTTCCAGGTCTCCTAAAGGTCCTTCATGTTCCATTTATGAATTTTTTAACTCTTTTTTTTTAGTGAGAAATCCAATCCCGTTATCTTGTTTTCAAACCCCAATGATCTATCTTCACATAGCCCATTCTGTTGGTGAGGCTTTCTATTGAACCTTTCATTTCACCAATTATGTATTTTTCATTTCCAGCTTCATTTCAGTTTAAATTTTCCATTCATTATTGAATTCTATTTTCATAACAAGAACTGATGCATGCTTTCTTGGAATGTGATCTGCTTATCTCTAAAGTTATCCCATTCTCAGTCATGCTTTCTTTGAATTCTATCAACTTATTTGTATTCGTTCTTTTCTAAGAACAATGTTTTTTATTTTTTCTTTGAGAATTTCGTTTAATATAGTTTAGTCATACTCTTTCCCTTCTCCAAACTTCTCCCAGAAGTGGGTCTCTGTGTTCCCTGACTGTGCAACAAACCGAGTGATGCTCTGATTTATGGGTATAGCAATATGTCATTAGTATTCATTTTGGTGCTGTGTTCATCTAGCAGATAAATTCTAGGGGCTTTTCCTCTAGGGCCATGATCTATATAGCCTTGGGTTCCTAGCCTTCATTATCAGTGTTAGGTATCCATCGACTTAAATCTAATAATAAAAAATCCCTGGTTACTCCTATAACATTTGTGTCACTATTGCACCACTGGGTATATCTTACCAGATAGGTGATTATTCTAGCTTGCAAGGGGTGTAGCTGTGTGAGACTGGTGATTACATTTCTCCTCTGCTCGTGTGTATAGGCTCTTCCAGCAGAGCTGGGCAGTGATGGCGCACACCTTTAATCCCAGCACTCGGGAGGCAGAGACAGGTGGATCTCTGTGAGTTTTTAGCCAGCCTGGTCTACAGAGTGAGCTCCAGGGCAGGCACCAAGGTTATAGAGAAGGCCTGTCTTGAAAAACAACAACAAAAAGAATGTTATCCAGTAAGGTGAAGCTTCTGGTTGAGTACCAACTATATGTCTCCATGTTCTATGATACAATTATGTTGTATTGTCTTGGTCACTGCTCAGTTGCCATGAAGAGACACCATAATCATTGCAAGTCTTGTAAAAGAAAGCATTTTATTGGCAAGACTTACAGTTTCAGATGCTGAGTCCCTTTGTCATCATGGTGGGAAGCATGGTGGTATGCAGGTAGACATGATGCTAGAGGAGAAGTTGAAGATTGTACATCCAGATCCAAAGGCATCAGGAGAAGATGGGATTGGCTTTTGAAACTTTAAAGCCCACCCCACAGTAACACACTTTCTCCAACAAGGCCACACCTACTCCAACAAAATCACACCTCTTAATCCTTTAAAATAGTGCCACTCTCTAAACATTTAAATACATGAGCACATGTGGACCATTATCATTCAAACCATCACAGGTATCTTTAGCAATAGAATCTCACTATGAAGATTGTGGAGGGTAATCTATAACATTGGCTGTAATGTTTGGGAGCATGTGGATGAGACCCTACTGGCAAACAATTAAAAAAGATGTATTATATTCTTGTTATTGAGATTTTATTTGGTATCTTATTTTTTATGAATTTATAAAAATTTCCACTTCCTCCCCTCCTCTCAATACCCTCCCACTCCCCAACACCCTCTCCTCCTCCCTCTCCAGTCCTAAGAGCAGTCAGGTTTTCCTGCCCTGTGGGAAGTTCAAGGTCCTTCCCCTTCCCTCCAGGTCTAGGAAGGTGAACATCCAAACAGACTAGGATCCCAAAAAGCCAGTACATGCAGACAAAACAAGTCCCAATGCCATTATCATTGGCTTCTCAGACAACCCCCATGTCATTCACATTCAGAGAATCCGGTTTGATCACATGCTCGTTCAGTCCCAGTCCAGCTGACCTTGGTGAGCTCTCATTAGATCAGTCCCCATGTATCAGTGGGTGAACGCACTCCTCGCGGTCCTGACATCCTTTTTATGTTCTCCCTCCTTCTGCTCCTCATTTGGACCTTGGGGGCTCAGTCCAGTGTTCCAATGTGTGTCTCTGTCTCTGTCTCCATCCATCGCCAGATGAAGGTTCTATGGTGATATGCAAAATATTCATCAGTATGGTTATGGACCAAGGCCAGTTCAGGCACCCTCTCCTTTGCTGTCCAGGGAACAATCTGGGGACCTCTCCTTGGGCCTGGGAACTCCTCTAGAATCAAGTCTCATGAAAACCCTAAAATGGCTCCCTTAGTTGTGATATATACCTCCCTGCTCCCATAACTATCCTTCCTCCCTCCCTCCATCCCATTTCCCCAAGCTATCCCCAATCCTCTCCCTCTCCCTTCTCTCTAACCATCTCCCTTACTTCCACCCCCCAACCCCAGTACACTGAAGTTTTGCCTGGCAATCTTGTCTACTTCCAATATCCAGGAGGATAACTATATGATTTTCTTTGGGTTCACCTTCTTATTTAGCTTCTCTAGGATCAAGAATTATAGGCTCAAAGTCCATTAATTATGGCTAGAATCCACTTATGAGTGAGTACAACCATATTCCTCTTTTTGGGTCTGAGTTACCTCACTCAATAAAGAATTTTCTATTTCCATCCATTTGCATGCAAAATTCAAGATGTCATTGATTTTTAACGCCGAGTAAAACTCCAATGTGTATGTATTCCACACCTTCTTTAACCATTCTTCTATTGAGGGGCACCTAGGTTGTTTCAAGGTTCTGGCTATTACAAATAGTGCTGCTATGAACATGGTAGCATGATAGGGCAGATCTTGGGTATATTCCCAAGAATGGAATTGCTGGGTCATGAGGGAGGTTGACTCCCAGGGTCCAGGGAAACCACCACACTGATTTCCACAGTGACTGCACAAGTTTGCATTCCCACCAACAATGGGTGAGTGTTCCCCTCACTCCACATCCTCTCCAGCATAGGCTATCATTGGTGTTTTTGAGTTTAGCTATTCTGACAGGTGTAAGATGATATCTCAAAGTGGTTTTGATTTGCATTTCCCTGATTGCTAAGGAGGTTGAGCATGACCTTAAGTGTCTTTTGGCCATTTGAAGTTCTTCTGTTGAGAATTCTCTGTTCAGTTCAGTACCCCATTTTTTTAAATTGGGTTAGAGTTTTAGTGTCTAGTTTCTTGAGTTCTTTGTATATTTTGGAGATCAGACCTTTGTCTGATGAGGGGTTGGTGAAGATCTTCTCCCAGTCAGAAGATTGCCTTTTTGTCTTAATGACAGTATCCTTTGCTTTACAGAAGCTTCTCAGTTTAGGAGGTCCCATTTATTCATTGATTCTCTTATTGTCTTTGCTACTGGGGTTCTATCTAGGAAGTCGTCTCCTGTGCCTATATCTTGTAGACTACTTCTCACTTTCTCTTCTATCAGGTTCAAAGTGGTCAGATTAATGTTGAGGTCGTTAATCCATTTGGACTAGACTTTTGGCATTGGTGATAGATATGGATCTACTTTCATTCTTCTACAGGTTGACATCCAGTTATGCCAGCACCATTTGTTAAAGATGCTATCCTTCTTCCATTGTATACCTTTAGCTCCCTTGTCGAAAATCAGTAGTCCATAGGTTTGTGGGTCAAAATCCAGGTCTTCTATTCAATTCCATAGGTCGACTTCTCTGTTCTTATGCCAATACCAAGCTGTTTTCAATACTGTAGCTCTGTAAAGGAGTTTCAAGTCAGGGATGGTAATGCCTCCAGAAGTTTCTTTATTGTATAAGATTGTTTTGGCTATCCTGGATTTTTTGCTCTTTCCATATAAAGTTGATTATTGTTCTCTCAAAGTCAGTGAAGAATTTTGGTGTGATTTTGATGGGGATTGCATTGACTCTATAGATTTCTTTTGGTAGAATTGCCATTTTTACTATGTTGATCCTCCCAATGCAAGAGCAAGGGATATCTTTCCATTTTCTGGTACCCTCCTCAATTTCTTTCTTCAAAGACTTTAAATTCTTGTCAAATAGGTCTTTTACTTCCGTGGTTAGAGTTACCCCAAGATATTTTATGCTATTTGTGGTTATCGTGAAAGGTGAAGTTTCTCTGATTTCCCTCCCTGCTTCTTTATCCTTTGTGTATAGGAGGGCAACTGATTTTCTGGAGTTGATCTCGTACCCTGCCACATTACTAAAGGTGTTTATCAGCTGTAGGAGTTCTTTGGTAGAGTTTTTGGGGTCTCTTATGTATACTATCATATCATCTGCAAATAACAAAAGTTTAACTTCTTCCTTTCCAATCGAATCCCCTTGATCCCCTGATGTTGTCTTATTGCTATTGCTAGAACTTCAAGCACTATATTGATGAGGTATGGTGAGAGTTGACAACCTTGTCGTGTTCCTAATTTTAGTTTAATGGCTTTGAGATTCTCTCCATTCAATTTTATGTTAGCTCTTGGCCTGCTGTAAATAGCTTTTATTATATTTAGGTATGATTTATATATCCCCAAGCTCTCAAAGACCTTTATCATAAAGGGGTGTTGAATTTTGTCAAATGCGTTTTCAGCATCTAATGAAATGATCATATGGTTTTTTTCTTTCAGTTCATTTATATGATGATTACATTGATAGATTTGTGTATGTTTAACCAGCCTTGCCTCTCTAGGATGAAGCCTATTTGATCATAATGGATAATTTTTCTAATGTGTTCCTGGATTCGTTTTGCCAGTATTTTGTTGAGAATTTTTGCGTCGATGTTCATGAGGGAGATTGGCCTGTAATTCTCTTTCTTGGTTGTGTCTTTGTGTGGTTTTGGTATCAGGGTAGCTGTAGCTTCATAAAAAAAATTTGGCAATGACTCTTCTGTTTCTATATTGTGAAATACATTAAGGAGCATAGGTATTAGCTCTTTTTGGAAGTTATGGTAGAATTCTGTTTTGAAACCATCTGGTCCTGGGCTTTTTTTGGTAGGGAGATTTTTGATAACAGCTTCTATTTCTTTGCTACTAACAGGTCTATTTAGGTTGTTCACCTGGTCTTGATTTACCTTTTTTGAATGGTACTTATCTAAAAACAAGTCAATTTCTTGTACATTTTCCAACTTTGTGACATATTAGCTTTTGTAGTAAGATCTAATTATTCTCTGAATTTCCTCTGTGTCTGTGGTTATGTCCCCCTTTTCATTTCTGAATTTATTAATTTGCGTGTTCTCTCTCTGACATTTTATTAGTTTGACTAGGGGTTTGTCAATCTTGTTGATTTTCTCCAAGAACCAGCTTTTAGTTTCATTGATTCTTTGGATTGTTTTCTGTGTTTCTATTTTGTTGATTTCAGCCCTCAGTTTGATTATTTCCCGTTTTCTATTCCTCCTGGGTGAATCTGCTTCTTTTTTTCCAGAGCTTTCAGGTTTGCTTTTATGTCGCCAATGTGTGCTTTCTCCGTTTTCTTTAATTGGGCACTTAGTGCTATCAACTTTCCTCTTAGACCTGCCTGAATTGTGTCCCATAGGTTTGAGTATGTTGTGTCTTTCTTTTCATTAAATTCAAGGAAGACTTTAATTAATTTATTTATTTCTTCCTTGACCCAGGGGTGATTCAGTAGTTGACTGTTCAGCTTCCATGAGTTTGTAGGCTTTCTTGGGGTAGAATTGTGTTTGAATTCTAACTTTGTTCCACGTGATCTGACAAGACACAGGTGGTTACTAATATTTTTTTTGTATCTGTGGAAGTTTGCTTTGTTACCGAGCATGTGGTCAATATTAGATAAGGTTCCATGAGCTGCAGAGAAGAAGGTATATTCTTTCCTATTTGGGAGGAATGTTCTATTGATATCTGTTAAGTCCATTTAATTCATTACCTCGATTAATTCTCTTATTTCTCTGTTAGGTTTCTGTTTGATTGACCTGTCCATTGATGAGAGAGGTGTGCTGAAGTCTCCTACTATTAGTGTGTGTGGTTTGATGACTGCCTTGAGTTCTAAAATTTTTTATTTTACATAAGTTGGTGCTTTTATATTAGGGGCATAGATATTCAGGATTGAGACTTCCTCCTGATGAATTGTTCCTGTTATGAGTATAAAATGTCTGTCTCCATTTCTTCTGATTGATTTTAGTTTGAAGTCAATTTTGTTGGAAATTAAAATGGCCACACCCATTTGTTTCTTAGGTTCGTTTGCTTGAAAAACCTTTTTCCAACGCTTTACTCTGCGTAGATATCTGTCTTTGTGGTTGATGTGTGTTTCTTGTAAACAGCAGAATGTTGAATTCTGTTTTTGCATCCAATCTCTTAGTCTGTGCCTTTTTATAGGTAAGTTGAGTCCATTAGTATTAAGTGACATTAATGACCAGTGGTTGTTGACTCCAGTTATTTATTTTTGTAGTAGAGTTTGTGTGTTTCCCTTC